ACAGTGGCAAAAGAGTGCAATAGCAAATGGCCATATATTGGTTATTAAGGTCTTCTAGAAGGAATTTCTCTTTCACTCCCCAAAGGCCACACTTTCGAACCAGATACAGTGTGAGACTGGGTATTGTGGGCCCAGATTTTTTTTACCTTATTTTCAAAGTTGGGGTGGGGCCCAATGTCTTGCACTAGTTAGCTCCAAAATGGTGAAAATAACTTGATAGTGACAGGGTTCGATGAATGGTCGAGATGTAATTCGAGAGATCGATAAATTTATGTGAATCGTGACTAACTACGTCGCCTATTATTTTAATCTTATCTTTTTTGTAGCAAACAATGGGCCATGAGCCACAATTGACAACGATGTGAAAGTAATGTTGCACCACAATCACAACATGTTGATTTACTTCATTAGTGGAATATGCAATAATACACTCGAACGCTCAAGTTTAAAAGCGATGCATTCCGGAATCCGTGTCGATCGACACGAGGGTGTGTTAAAATGTGTGATCTGACCTAAATCGACTCACATACACGTCACCTTTATGAATTGGTCTGATGAAAAATATTATTCGAGCTTAATTCAAATCGTCTTCAAAATTTGTAGACTAGATCAACCAACGAATGTTCTAAAAAAAGTGAAATTTATCAGTAATAGTACAATGCTTTAGTAATGGAGTTGACTGTGCCGATCATCATAGATCAATGGGATTAAAAATCGAACCTCGCATGTCCCACCATAATTGATGGGAATGGTTTCGATTTATATTTTTTAACGGCCTAGATCATCCTAGCCGAGTCAGACAATCTATTTTGACATAACTATGTTGAAGTATCATGCTACTAAGATTTGATCCACACATCTTTAGTGTGACTTCAAAATCTGGTATTCTTTCGTTAGAGTTGAAACATGTTGAGTGTCTTTTATCAACTATATAACTTATATGGAAGGGGAAAATGAAGTGTCGGAGGGCTCAGTCAATGTCGAAAGTAAACATAAAAAAACAATGCATACGTTTCTTGTGAGAGATTTCAAACTAAACAAAGAAATTAAAGTTGAGATGAGGATAACGAATTTGGATGAATTTGGTTGGCTTTCTTATCGCATGCGTAGACTTGAAGTTGTGTCTAAACAATTTATTTCATATAAAATAATTGAAAATTGGTCAATACACTAACTAATTAAGTAACATACGATCTCTATCAATTGTTTTGATATAAAGGTGAACAGACTTTTACACCAGACACATGGTCTTGAAACATTGGATTTTGATCATTTTTTTAGACAAGATTATAACCCACTTGTTTGTAATTGATGGAGAAGTTCAAGTAATCTATTCAAAATTATTTAGGCATAACCTTAAAAAAAAAAAAATCGAACTCTTTTTTAATCATACAAGTAATTATGTACGTGAACCCATAACTTCTTAACTTTGTAGTCACACATTCTTTAAAAAAATCATTTTTCACAAAATTCATTATAAAAAAATTTGCATCAAATACGTCCTGAATTTCAGAGTCTATGTTAACCCTCTTAAAAGGGCAAGTCCGAACTTTAGATTTTATTATATTTAGAGCTTGTTTGGTACAAATTAAAATCAGATTTTAATCTAAATCAAAGTCAACCAATCAATATTAACCACATCTTTCATGGGTCTCACAACTTTTTAACCACACATTTCAAAAATTTCTATCAAAATCTACTAAAAGTCTAATTTTAATCCCCACCAAACATCTCCTTAAACTATGTGGGGTTTTTTTTAGGGCAAATGGTGAGGGTTTAAGAGAGAACCAATCTTAAAATTCAATTGTTTATTTAGGTTTTACATAGATTGGGTTATTTGTTCGAATTTTTTAAACTTTGCTATCGTATTGAGATTAAAAGATCTATTTTTAAAAAGTAAGCCTCATTCTAGCAATGGTAAAATTAAAAAAAAAAAAAATTATTATTTTTATATTTAAAAATGCAAGAAGAATAAATTAAATTGAATTATCAACACATACGTCAACTATAAAAATTTAACGGCACACAACAAGAAGTTATATAATATTAAATCATTTGGAAAAAAAAAAAAAAGGTAGAGTAAGTCGGCCTTAATGTTAGTCGATTTTTTAAATTATTTTTTTTTAAAATAATGGTAGTCGGTTCTACATGTTAGAAGTTTACTCGTGTTAAACTGACAACCAATTGCCAAATGCCAAGTGACAAATATATTAAAATTTCTAATTCCATCTTAAATTGCTAATATTTTTTAGGGCAGTATGTCACGGACCTAGAGAACTCCCCTACTCATGTGGCGTGGCTAGATAACTTTTTGTGGGTTTATTGCTATATTTCTTGGAAGTGCACTGACGATGTCCCTTTAATAGCTTTGGATAGCATGGTTTCTATCTCTATGTTGTGCTTATGTTGCATATCTAAACTTGTTGGTCGCATGTGTGGCGTAGGCTGCCTGGGGGTCCCTGGAACCTCAAGGGCCGAATGGGAGGTCCGATACAAGTGATATCAGAGCCGGTCCGCTCCGAATGTTGCGTTGTTGGTTATCCATGGCCGGCGACGTACATTCCTGCGGAGAAGA